AGGAGCTCAGCGGGTAAGCACGAAGGGAAGCAGAACTTCAGAACCAGGGCCATGGAGTTCTGTCGAACTACAAGGACTACACATGTTTTATACCAAATAAACACCTGGCCACTAATCTGAAAACTTCTCCTAGTGCTAGAAAAATCATCACAAGGAAGGATGACTTAGGATAAAATTCTTTGATGTATCTTTTGTTCTAGTAACATCTTATTTAATTCACAGTCAAAGATGAAAAGTCCTGGAAACGCCCCTGTTGACAGTTCATTTCAACCCAAATTATTCTTAGTGACCAATTCTTTTTACCCCTGACTTATTTTGCAAGAAAATAATCTACTAAAACCTGTTGTATTTTTTTTTTTCCTGATTATGTCTGGGCTGAGTGGACTGAACTCCATCACTTTGCTCTTGATTCTAACTCCTCATGTATTTTTTCCTTCTCTAGTGCATTTTCTTGAGATCTTTTCTGATCTTTTTCAAGTCGGAAGGAAGTGCAGATCATATTCCAAAAAAGGCATGTCTGATCATCTCTAACCATCCAACCATCAACTCTCTAACCCTGTTAATAGCAATGATGAAACGAAGGACAGGACTTAAAATATCCATTTTCACTTGTCATGGAAGTCACGTTCTAATAATTTTAAAAAGACCGAGTCAGAAGTACGCTCACTCACGAAGATGTTTAACTCATATGTAAATTAAATATGCAACTTGTGTATAAGTTTTCATGAAGTTTCATTTTGTGTCAGTACAGCTTAATTGTTCTCATCTTTCTTTCAGGTCATTTGACAARTATTTGTCCTCTGCTGTAACTCAAATTTCACAAATATGAACACACTAAAGTGAACTCAAAGCAAACTACAAAGATTCTGGCATGGTAGCCTGTAAGGTCACTTATCCTCCTTCCCAAAGCAACCAGTGAAAATAAGATAATGCTTGCACTTTCCCAAAGAGAGGTCAGGAAAACAGTTGAAGACCAAAGGACATAGACATGACAGTAGGTTAATGATAATAATACACATTCTCAGGTATTTTCTGTTTTTTCACATGATGCAAACTTAGGGAGGCCATTATACTTTGATATAAGCATATATTCGATTTTACCAACCTGATTTCATGGTTGTTTTTCACAGTTTGACGGGGCCGAACCTCTGATTTCACAACTACAGTTTGTGAATGACTTCATTCTAGAGCATCTATAACTCATAATGCTAGATACAGTCAAACAGTTCACATGTAGATGCCTCTCTTATTTTCCCCCTTCTTTCTGCCACAACTATTTTTCCAGCTACTGCTTTCGCTATCTTTACCTGGAATAATCAAGTGACAAAATACATTCATGCACAATAGAATGAGAGAGTCCTTTAAAATGCCCTTGTGACTCTCATTTTCCTATACRGGCTATAAGCTTTAAGGCTAATCCTGCTCCCACTGTGTATGAGCTTTCATTCTTACACCACTGCTTAGAGCAACCCTGTGGACCAGCAAGCACACTTTTGAAAAAAACCCTGACTTTTAGTACACCTGTGCTCTTTATCTGTGTTTTTTAAATACTGCATGAAATGTGAAGTTCTGCTATCGGTGCCCTTTTTATGATGTATCTGGGGGACCATTCACATGTTTAAAATTAAGCACATTCTTAAGTATGTCAATGAACTGATGCTTATATCTGTGAAAGGTTTTGCTTGCAGAGGAATCAGAGCTTGGGGACTAGAAAATGAGAATCACTGCAATAATAGAAACCATTAATTTCAATACAGTATTATATGTTATTGCAGTTTGCAGATCCCCCTCATCCCCAGAGAAACCTGAAAATAAAACTGAGCTAATAGATAAAATGGCCACACCTGCAGATGTTACGAGTTTCCCATGCAAAGCCTGTAAATTCTCCTCCTGAAAATTAATACCAGCTATAGCACAGTACATGTGCAAAAATCTCTAGGGGCGGAATAGCACCCAAAAGGACAGATGGTTTCCTTCAGCCAAACATTAAAAAAAGAGCATCATCGAAATGGGCAAAGACCAACATGTACTTTGCTCATAGAGACTGTTGTAATCGACAAACACAGAATAAAATCTTCATTAACACTTGATCATAGTTACAGTTTTTTTTGTTTGTTTGTTTGTTTGTTTTTTTTTTTTTTTTGGTTTTTATTTTACATCTGTTTTGCTTTGTACCAGGACCCTCTCTGCTGATTTATGACAGACTTGCTAAACTGCAGGACTTCTGTTAATGCATCAACCCCATCACCCTGCTCAGTTGACCGTAACTCCAGCTACACACACCCAGAAGACACTGTCCATTCCTCTCCTCTTTTCAAACTCTCTGAAATAATAATTTTTAAACACAGCTTCAAACTATTATTTTTAGTTTAATCAGATTCTAAATCCTTTCCGTTTCTTTGTCTCACCTCTCTGCCTTGGAGGTGTTAGGACAGCACATAAATCACATGAGCCRAATGGCTCCAATTGCACTTGCACTTGGCCGGCCATCAAAGCCAGGAACAGTAGAAATTGCTTTGGATGGCTCGTACAAAACACAAGTCTTTTATTTTGGTCTTTTCTTTTTCAGCTTTCTCCTTTCACAGATACCTCAGACCATGAGAAGTTTCAGATTTCTGGCAGAAATATCTAATTCACAAAAGACAAGGCACAAAACTACATGGAGTAATTGCTTTTTTTTTTTTTTTTTCTTTTTGTTCTCAATACTGATCAATCAAGGATATACATCTATGTTTTCAGTAAGTTTCAAACAAAGCCATATTAAGCGCAGAGTTGTCAATAATGTAAATATACACACATATGTATACACTGCACTGGTATTGCACTAGCACGGGATAATGAGAGCTTTTGGAAGACAGCAGTGACAATGCTGCAGAAAGGATTCTGTTACAAAACCTTGTGCTGAGCTCATCCTACTGCTCAGTTAATGAGAGGTGAGCAGTGCTAGGAGGCATTCTGCTCACAGACTCTTTCCACAATTCATAAGAAAGCCACCCAAGCACACAGAGATATATCACGCTTATATATTAATCACTGCCTCATCTGCATTAAAGCGGAGGAAGAGAGGGAGCAATCAGAAAACAGTCCTTAGCTACCAGGCATCATTTGCTACTGCAACAGTCCTTGCTTGCCACTCCACATCTCGTCTTGTTCCRCCAGGACGTGACAACTGAACTCACACCCTCCAGCGAACGGCAGCGCAGGCGCTCGGCTCGGGACCACACGGATGCAGGGAYGTCGCTTCTGGGCTCCCACTTGTATATTTGCAAGGTACTGCCCCACTCCTTCATATAGCTATRGGGTTCTGCACAGCATTACACTGCACCACGAGCACATACCAAAGCCATTTTATAGGCAAGGAAACTAGGTGCCTATGGATTAACAGGTACTTAAGCAATGAGGTGTAGTTATACACAATCACTCTGGCTCTTAGGTTCCTAAACCGCAGCTCAGGCAGAACAGAGACATGTGAGTCCATTTTTGGATCTGGACTTGTGTGTCTTATGCTTCAACTTCATCTGAAGTGCATGGTAAAACACCAATTAGTGCCGTAAAGGAGGACAGGAAAAGATTATTTTGCACTGGTGAAATATTACTACATCAAGCTTGAAAAKGAGGCAAGCGTCCAAGAAAGAAATCATGTTGAGAGAAGCAACGGGCTGGGAAAAGAATGAAATTCCAATTGTTTGCTGTGAGAAGCTGCAGGAAAACAAAAGGACAGTTTGTCAAAGCCATTTAAAACAGCTCGAGAGAAGCAAAAAGTCTGTCGGAGTCTGTAGTTCTCTGCTGTGACTCTCATCCTCTAGTCTAGAGCTTCCAGGTTATAACCAAAAGGAGCAACATAGGTTGCCACAAGATAAGCAGARAAGTTTTTAACTCAAGCTGTGTAACAGCCTTGCTGTTCAGCTACAAGGTGTTTCATTCTGCTGCACAAGAGACTTGCTTTTAACTCCCAGAAAGCTACTTTTATCGACAGCACCAGCTTAACTTCTGACCAGTCTTCCAGCCATGGACGGCTGCCTCTCTGCTCCAGCCTTCTTCCCCTGCCAGTGTCGGCCTTCAAATAAGCCCTGAACTGCCAGTGCACTGAAAGCACCTGTGAAGTGCAAACTTTCTAACTGAAAGAGCATCAATTTATCATTCCAAGAAAAGAAAGATGGCAGGTATGGAAAATACCTACCACAGATAACCTTCCTGTACAGCTTTTAAGCCTGAGATCAGAGTGTTTTTATCTTTACTCCTCACGTACAGATGGTATCAGGGCATATCACATAAAGCCTTGGCCAGAGAACTTGCACCGGTCACCACTGTTATTAATGTCTAAGATGAGGTAGAACCAGTAAAAGACAGCAAAATAGAAACAAAGCAAAAATGTTCACACCGACATTTGCTCTTTTTTGTTTTGTTTTTTTTTCCCCCCCTCTGAAATTCTGTTGTTGTTTGAACATCTTTCTTTCCTGCCTGATCTCTCTACCAAGCTACAAGCTAGACCTTTTTAGGCATTCCTGTTTCACCAGTGTCATTCAACAGCCGTCTCTGTGTTACGGCCTTCCCTATGATTTCAAAAGGACCATGTGAGCCTTCTCCTCAAGTATCTCAACACACATATAGGAACCCAGTGGGATTTACCAGGAGCCTGACTTCCACTGATGTGAACAGGAATCAGACTGCTAGATGGTCCTAAAAAACTCATAGTACAAATCTATAACCAGACTTTAAAGAAATGCCAAAAATAAACACTTCCTTTAATCTCAAAATAGTAGTACACTATTTTTCAAGGTTGTTGATAAAAGAATGAAATTGCTTGGGCAGAAGTTTAAATATCAAATCACAAGCTGAATTTCAGAATATTTGCAACATCCCACAACAGTAAGCCATTACCAAAGACATTTCTATGTATGGTATTATATTCTCATCACCTTCATATCTACTTAGGGAAGTCTTTTGAGAGAGAGACTATTAGAATTGCTACCAAGATATGGAGAAGGTCAGTGACTTACCCAAGGCCACATAGGTTGTGTGCAGCTACGTCAGAAGTCACATTACGGTATCTGACACTTCCAAGTGATCTATCCTCTCTCTGCCTTCCAGTCTCCTGTTCTTATGCTGGCCTCACATGACTTCGTACCGGGATCTGATGAAACAGAGAGAGAGTTATGTAAAACTTATCAAAAAAAAAGACCTATTCATTCTTTGGACACGAAGTTTATCAATAAAYCTTTCATTTGTCAACACTGGCTGTGCTGTGTCCTGCCTCCTACCAAAGGCAGGAACTCAGGTCCAACAGCCACATTTATGTCAACTCAATTTATTTTAGTCAGAGTTACAAAGAACATTTAAATATGAATCATTTAATTATCAAGATGAACCGACTTTCTGAAGCCTACAAATACAAATGAGATGAAATTCACTAGCAGAAAACCCCTTGCATTTGGATTTTTCTGAACTGTTGAGGAAAGGTCTCTGGAGTTTTTTGCAAGGAAACCTATAAAGCACAATTAATAAAATGTATAATTATGTTTACAATCTCGGATAAATTATTATGTTTCCTAAAGCATTTATAATTCAGCTATTACCAAATGGCTTTAGACTTAGTTGTGGCATTTACAGTTTCAAAACTTTTAAGGGGAATAGAAAATAATTAGTCCCAGGTYGGAAAGATAATTTAGAAAAATGACTTCTTATATGTCCCTGATTTCTTCCTTCCCAACCAAGAAGAAAAATCTCAGATTTTTGACAATATGAAATTTGAGGTAGAAAACAAAACAAACAAACAAACAAAAAGAGTTGAGAAAAGTGTCCTTTGTGATCATTTMTGGAGCAGCTAATGAGCTCTGCATCTGGTCACTCCATCAACACAGCATTGCAGCACTAGAACAACCTTTAAATAAAATCAGTCTCCTTTTATTCTATAACGGGGTGGCAGTTTTGTTTGGCTGTTTTTATAAACCAGTACYGTTGTAGCCACCTGGTTTGCAGTTTATCTTGAAAGCTGTTGTACCAGTACAAATGAAGAGGCAAAGAACAGGCAAAGAACRGGCATGAATGTCTTGGGGAGGGAGAGATGTGAATGTCTAGCCYGACTTCCTTGCCCAAGCCAATGCAATAAAGCTGCACCTGTACTGACATGATGAGAATGTCTCATTTACAACCAGGCAAAATGCTGATCCCTCCAGCTAAGTGTTTGCATTTACTTTGGATAAAAGGGCTTTTACGGTTGGGCTAAGCATCTACTGAGGTATGTAAGAATTAAAAGAGGAATTAAAGAGAATTAAAAGGGCAACTTTTCTGCCATAAAAATACTGTATTCACCACTAATCAGCTTGATTTAAAACATTAAGCTTAAAGAAAAAATTAAGCTTAAAGAATCTCAACAATTACTACACAAGTTTGTCAGAGATATTACAAATTACAATTCTTCATGGGACTAAAAATGGGAGAATGTTTCAGAAATGCTAAAACTATAACAGCTTCACTTTAAAATAAAAATGGCAAAAATATTGTGACTAAAAGCAGTTTGGGAACAAACCACTTAATTTTCTTTGGGATTTCTTTGAGCTATTCAATGTGCATGATGTTTATATAATAGAGAAATATAGTAGCAGATRAGATGTATGAGATGTAAGGATTCCTAGATTTTTTTTAAAAAAAAAGGCAAAATAAGTTGCTTTTATATTCTAGACACCTGATTTGCAGCCAGATTTGTATAACCTTGCTGTATAAAAGATTTTAATGTGATCTAAGAAACCTGAAATGGAGTTCAAGGCAAACAAACCCTCAAAAACTTATAAGTAGAAATAAGATTTCTCATCAAACAACTGAAAACAGATGCAGCAACAACTGCAGAAAATGAAAGTTTACATCATTTTGGTCAGACTAGTTTRTAATATTGATTCTATGAACATATATACAATTACACTTTCATGTTAATTACCTGGTTCTAGTACAAACGTAGAATCATAATAGCACAAATTACGTAAGTGCTGCTGTTTAGCTTCAGGGAGAGTCCTCAGTAGTTTGGTGGTACCTTGAGAGGACTTCCCAAAGCTTCAGCCTTTTAGGATCCATGAGCTTTAAAACCAGATTTCACAATAGTCAGGTCTATCTGCTAGTCAGTGGCTAAGAAAGTCTATTTTTTTAATCAAAGAGTCATTTTAAATTCCTCATTGAACAGTGTTTTGAGGAGATCTCTCCATGCTGATGATGTAACTCAGGGCAGTGGGACGGTCCCTGCACGAGGTCCCATGAGAACACTGTGCCCTGGGGGCCCAGGTGGGCCCCAGCGGTCCCTAACTCTGGCCTAACCACAGGGCTGCTTCAGGCAGGCCACATTCGGTCGCACACACGGATTTTCATGTGGTTTTTTTTTTTTTTTCTTTTCTTTTCTTTTCTTTTTTTTTTTTCATAAAAACAAATGACTTACACAACTTTTGCTTTCTGAAAGCTAGCTTTCATACTGCTGCCAAGTTTTAGATGAAAAGGCAGTTAATAACCCAGCCCGGATGCCCACGTGCCGACTTTCCTGCTTTCAAGCCTCTTTCCAGCCACTGCCTTTTGCCATGAGCAAGTGTTCACAGTTTATTAACAGCATCTTCAATTGGTCGTTTGCTCATGAGGTTTYCTTTTCCTGGCTCCTAGCATCTCCAGCACTGAAGTGTTTGACATTTCTTCACTYATCTCCCTTGTAACCGGCCATCACCATCTCTGCTATATCGTTCTGGCTTTAATGGGAGCGAGCTCAGTACTGTTGCCCCATCAGTACTTATGTACTCATGTACATTAGCCAGGAAGGTATATACACTTCATACACTGTCCTCTCACAGATYGAAATTACAGATTAATTAGCCAAACTGTGCAGCGTTTCTCAGAGCGAATGAAACCTCCTCCTCACGTTTTCAGATCAWTTTTTATGAGCTCTTCAATGACTGAGATGCAAAACAGAAAAATAGTCTTTTAGACCCAGACCTGAATGAGGATATATGGAAATTGTGAACACYAGACCAAAGGAGTCAAGCCAGCAGGTCAGCCAAGCAGCTATGCATCTTCTGCCTAGGGTGATGGAGCTAGAGCACTGGATTTCAGCACAGTAGAAGCTTTGAACTCAGGCTGAACCCCTTCTGTTGAGAGAAGGAGCTTTCTGTTAGGAAGAGAAACACTATTTGCATCGATTCTCCTAGCAGCTACTCTCTTCAGAGCAATCCGTTCCGCGTTCCTGACGGCAGGCCTACAGAGACGACTTTTTTCCTTGCACAGTATTTACAGTATAACTGTAAATTTCCAGGACTGCAGATTATTTTTTTAATGATCATGCTTTCAGAATGCAAGCTTTTCTGCAGGTAGTAAATACAAGTCTATAATTCAGCAGCTGATGTTCTATGGGAATATTTTATATTGAAATATGGTAAGTTTAAGTGCTTTTCCCTACCTATGCACTTGAAAATCACAGATCAGATAAACATGAAATCAAATCAGTCCTTGACTTCTATTTAGAATAGACTGACTGAAATTGAAGTAACTTAAATCACTGATTTTTACCTGTAATTAACAGCAAAAACTTTGATCAAAATAATCAAATTTAAATTGTTTTTTATTTGTATATTTTGATTATTTGTCTAAAGAAAAGTTGATTCTTTGGGGTGATAAAATTTGGCATTTCCTTCTGCTATATAGGAACAGGCCTACATATATTAATTTTAGCAATTGCAAATATCTTCATTTCCTTGAACTCTAATTCTTAATTTTATCAAGTAAAAATAGATGAGAAATACACAGAAAATGATTTTTTTAAAAGTTGATATGTATTAACTATGCTAGCATGGAATGTGGAATTTGCTTAACAATCAAAATAATCACTTCGAAATTGTGTTTAGAATTAAATAGGTCTAGTTCATGAGAAAATTAAGGATTAAAAAGTCTTTTCRATAAAAATCAGTTGATAAAAAAAGAAATTATTTTTCCGCACAAAGTGATTTAAATGCAGCATTTTTGTACTTCCAGAACTTCAGAAACACTAAATCTCATCCTCTGACATATAGGTTCCTATTCACGTATTAGAAGAGAGAAAGCAAGCTTACTGCTTTTTTGGTTTGTTGTTGATTTTGTTCCGTTTCCCAAATGGATTCTTAACTTTTAGTCAAGTCAACATAAGTAAATATAAACCAGATAAAAAAACAGGAACTSAAAATATTCACAAATACAGAGAAGGCATCAACAACTAGTATTAATATTTTGGCAAACTGATTCCAAGGAAGCTTTGGCTGAATTTTTCTGCTTCTCCAAATGCTACTTTAAAAGGCAAATTGCTGTAGTAATTCATGGCAAGTATACTCATTATATTAATTATGATAGCATGTATCAATAAATTATACACTCAGAAAGTCAACAAAGATAAGCATTCTTATCCATCTATAAGATGGATTATCCTTCTATAAGATGGATAAGACTATATACTCCAAACTATGTAATCCAACCACTATATTCTCAAGTCTATAAGGGAAATCTGAAAGAAACGGTTACATGAAACGTGACAACCTCATTTGTGAGGAATTGTATATATTCTATGAAGTTATACGCATGAGTCACGTTAATTAATATCCTGCATTTACATAGATAGTCTTTCCTCTCAAAGAATCCTGAAGCATTTTGCTCATACACCAGAAATGTAACTTTACAAAAACTCAACCAAAACAGATCCATACATCTACTCAAAGAAAAGCTCTGAAAGTTATCCACTTTATCAACTTCTTTTCTTGATAAAATAAATGTTAGTTACTTCTCTGTCAACTCTAGCAAGCAATAATCAAAACTCTTTTCTACTAGTAGCACAGGAAATTGAAATCATCTCACAAATTACTTCAATCCCTCATGCATTTTACAAGTCCCTCTGGGGCTCCCTGAGATACTCTCCTTTGATCTCCCCTTCCCCTTATAAACCACATAACTCTTACCCACCCCAAATTAAAACCATGCAGCTTTCCCATCTCTTGTCTCCACAGTAACAGCTCATCCACTTATGGCCATCCCCATGGCTTCATCTTCACTTGGCAGCTCCCATTTTACACAATGATTTGACCAAAGTGTTCACTGAAAGGCTCTTTGTGATTGATTCTGATTCATATTTGGTGATTCTT